CAATATTTCGATGCAGAGATTATCAATAATTGGTTGACTTATATCTCTGTGATCTATAATACAGATGAGCAGCCGATACGGCCATAAGTCTCCCAGACTTGACCACGAATTCGGAATCGGAATTACACTCGACGGCCCCTAACGTACAAAAACAAACAAATGTTAAGCTATTTATTGGTAATTACTATTCGCTTCAACGCTTAAAGTAGTTTTATTTGTTGTTTTAAAGAGAACTTCAAATACGGTTTCTAATTACTAGTGATAATGGCATGTAAAGCACAAAACATATAACTATTTTAATGATTGTTGTAAATGTACACTAAGGAGACTGTCTCTCTTTGTCACACACTATATGCACAGATATATGCACTTATCGTCAAAATATATTCAATGCAATTAGAAATTAAAATTGAAAGCAATTAATGAAATGAAGTATATTATTATTACGAAAACTCTGAATGTTACTCTGTATAAAACTTCCGGAGATTTTGGTTTAGAAACCGTTTACAAAGCTTTATCCAAAATAGCCTAGGTTGCGAAAACCGCATAAAGTTACGATACATCCTTGACTTCGGGTTTGAGTTATCCTCTGCTGTTAACCATTGGATGAATCGACGGTTTAGCGACACGTCTCTCCTCAACAACACTGTTATGGCGGCTGTGGTTATGCTAATCATATCCTGTCGTGCGATCTGTTTGTTATGCATTGGGAAACAGGAGAGCAAGAGGTCGAGGATCGCCCGCTGGACTAACACGTTGGTCGTGTCGAGAAGGGCCGCACAAATGCCAGTAATCATTGTCTGCAGACAAGTGCCCATAATATACAACTGGTCCTCAAGACTGCGCTTTTTGTTGAAATGAGACGATATAAACATAATGGCCTGAAGTCGTACCGACGGGTTGTATAAAACACATCTCCAAAGGGATCCGTAGAAGAACTCTTGGGAGACGGCGGTGCAGACCTCCACTAATAGCTTATCGGTTCTCTCGTGACAATCGTTTTCCTCGAGTCCGGGCAATACAGCGATGAGAAAGCCGTCGAGCGCTGGCTTCAGACGCGGCCCGAGAGGTATAAAGTGCTTCTCGTAGATCTCGAGTAGTGATGGCTTCACATTAATGGCCGCGTGACTCAACAACGGGAACAGACCATTGGAGTAAATGCTCAACTCTTGGATNGAGAAAGCCGTCGAGCGCTGGCTTCAGACGCGGCCCGAGAGGTATAAAGTGCTTCTCGTAGATCTCGAGTAGTGATGGCTTCACATTAATGGCCGCGTGACTCAACAACGGGAACAGACCATTGGAGTAAATGCTCAACTCTTGGATCAATCGATCGGTTCCAATACATTTAAATATGAGATCATAGGTTTCCAACGCTTTCAAATGGACGCCCGATGGGAGGGCCGGATGCATGGTTTGCGCCAAACGCTGGCCAACAGTGAATCGTCGGGGGATTACACTGTACTTCACGTTGTTTAACAGCACCTATGGATGAGAGCATCAAAACAAATGGATGTGAGAGTGAGTGGAGGGAATGGAAGTGCTGGAAGTGGTGATGACAATACCTTGTTCAGTTTGCCCAAAGCGTTCACCAGATCTGCCCATTCGGACGTGTACTCAAAGCCCTTCAACGCTCTGTCGATCTCCTGAACATATTTGCGATACTTGGCGTCAGACATGAGCTCGTATTCATCCAAAGAGGTTGTGGTCGGACTCCGAGATATCTTCATGTTTGTCGTGTTTTACCACCGATTCATACGATAATGTAATAAATATATAAATAATTCAAAGCAACCAATCGTTTCAATAAAGTCTGTTTGGCTGTAATCTCATAGCATTTGGTCGACAATAACAGCAAATCATAACAATAATAGCGAATAAAGCAAAACAACACAACAATACTGACGACCACTACATGTTTGCCGCAAACGTGGGATCAGTTGTCCACACATTGGTATAGAGTCTACACATGATATACAATCAATTCAATGGCAAAGTATGGCATTCGAGTCAACACAAGCACTCGTATCGGCGATTCACCACTCGTTTCGGTTCCGCTATAAACACAGTGTCTGTGAATCGACTGAGCGTTCGATACGTATTGCAAAACACAGTCCTCTCAACAGTCAAGGCATACAAAACACATACAAATGCCTTACGAGTCGTCACTGAACGCAATGCACGCAACCGTACGAACACAACAACACATCACCACTCAATCCATTCCCTATACCATAGCCTATGAGTTACGCCTCTTTTACAACTCGAACCCCTATTTCTCTCTTATTGACAGCTTGTGTGCAATATTTACCCATAACTCTGTTATCTGGTTCATAGTGTGCCCAACTGTCACTGTATCGGATCCCCAATCTAACCCTTTACTCGGACACCACTTCACACTACACTAGAAATTAGTGGTCACTAAAAATTGCTCTCATTTTTGTCTAAAAGATTTTCAAAACTCGTTTAAAGCCTTACATTGACTAGAAATCGTACAAATTCTTGGATTCATTGAAAGCACAGAATTTTGTTTAGCTTTTCAATTACATTGCATTCACTAATCAAGTCGTGAATCAAATTAATTATAATTTGTTTTTCGTATAAATACTATTTGTTTACTAGTTTTAAACAGAATATTCTGTCCACTGTTGGTAACATTTTGGTAACTGTTATTACAATTATTATATTGTATTTGCAATAAAATGAATTATTGTTTTGGCCATAGAAATAAGTTTTTATTGCTATAAGTTATAGCCCATAACATTAGTTCGGACTCTTGTTCTGTGAATAAAAACTTATGCACTTTTAATAACATCTCATAAATATTGATATAAAACGAATGCAATTGTTTTTATCGTCGCATATTTACAAACGACAAGTGCATTAGGTTTTCTAACATTATGTAGGAGTCGTTAGAAATGCTCTTAAGGTAAATTTAACATAAAGTCATGTAAACCAAACCTCTAGTACACCACTATTACCGTTCATATGCTTTAATATTGCATTTTATGGAATCAACCGTTCATACCATACATACAGTTAACATCAATGTTTGCATTGAATTTCACCCGTTTTGTACAATATGTTCAAAAGTTATTTAAAATATATTTAATAAACTCTACGCTAAAGTATTATTTGTCTGTTAAAACGTACACATTTTATCACTATATTAGGGTTTTATATATACTATTATTCAATAAAATATATGGCTATTAATGCAATGATTTAAATAGTAAGATAACGATATATTAGTCACCTATCGATAGACCTAATGTGAAGTCATTTTTTACATTCATTTGTTACAATAGATTGTAATAATAGTTAATAAATGATAAAAAGTAGGAATCATGTGAGTCATTAAGACAACAACACATGTAATAACATAGATGTTAATTATGTGCCAAAGGAGTGGTGTATGTTTGCGGTTATGTAAC